TTTTACGTATCTTGGAAGTTGTATTAGTTCTGACTGTAGTGCGACAGATGAGATCAATGCACGAATCTGCAAGGCTCGGGTCGCGCTTGCTAATTTGAGACACCTACGGCGTCAGAATGGTTTATCCCTGAATCTGAAGGGACGTGTGTATCAAGCTACAGTACGGGCTGTTTCGTTGTACGGCTGTGAGAGTTGGTCTATCGGATCAACGGAACTGATACGTCTTCAGGTGTTCGACAATCGTTGTCTCAGTATCATAGCTCATGTGGGTTAGTGTTGACGAATCCGTAACGAGGAAAGTGGATAGTGATTTCTCGGTTGTGCAACGAAAACTTTTATCAAAGAATGAGTCCAGCACTAGAAGCTACGTTATTTGGGACATGTGTTGCGTATGTCCAACCAACGTTTGCTGAACAGGGTGCTGTTCCTCGGAATCTGATAGGCGGCTAATCCTTGGCCCGGCAGAAGGGTATGAAAGAAATCACGAAAAGTTTAGGTGTTGTCGGTGCTACTCGCCTTCCAGGATGGAAACCGCGTGACCCTCGCTGCGGCTGGTTGTAGACGCTGCAAGATGTGACAGCTAACCGATGTCAGTGGCGATCTTGATGTCAGTTTCTATCTAGATTGCCTGAATGTAAGTCTGGAGGTACAGACACATGGAAATGATTGTAGTAAGGTAGCACCAAGTCCCTTCTTTTCTTTGTCCAATTCTTTTCTCCACAATAACGCATTCAAATAAATAATGGCTGTACGGCAGTGAAGCATCAGTGTTGAACACTGATGTCATGTTATCGATGATGATGGTTCTATTCAGGTGACATCTTACTCACCATTCAAATATGAGTTTTGATGGATACAAAATATTTGAATTCGTCGCAAGTTTGTTGTTGGAATTCCCAGAATGTCGATTTTCATCTTGGGTCCCACCGACGCACTTTTATCTCCTATCCGGAAAGGACTCTCTTGAGTGATCTCTCCATGGATGATCTAGCATAAAAATACCGTGACTAGCACACCGGTTTCACAAGCTTTCAAAACGCGTGAAATTACTATCTTTCAGTGGAGATTTCATAATCCCCCTCTCCATGCCGAAAAAATGAGAAGCGTTGTGCACTCATTCTTTCATCCTCAATGGGTTCGAGACCGCAGTTTCGTGTTTATGATTCTGAATCCAAATGAAAGTTATATACTGCTTCGCACCGTTCCAGCATACATTCGCTTCGCTTACAAGAGAGAATCGCCATTTTTTCAGCTAAGGCACCCCTTCGGTGCCCAACTACCGTGACACTAGAAGGAATCACGAGGGCTTAGATTCTGCCAGGTTGCCCAACCTAGACAGGGGAAGTCGGATTCGAACCGCGGACCTTCCGGTCAAGAGATTCGCCCTGTAAGCACTGAGCCATGTCCATTAAAATGCTGAAAATCTTATCACAGCCAACAGAATCAACGTCATTCTGAATTAGTGTTCAGTCGTAAGAGGTATGCACTCTTTTTATTGCTGGGCAACGTTTCGCTTTTGATGAGTAAGTAGTTGATTGGGTTTTAAGGCAGTCAGTTATCAGCGAAATCGCCTGGGTCTAAAAGTACAAAATCCAAGTAGAGTTAGATCCGATCCACCACCCCACCCACATCCCCGAACCAATTGTCCCAGCACCCTTGGACGAACACAGGTGAACGAAATCTGTGAACGACGCCAAGAGGAATTTTCCATTAAGGTGTCCTAGACTGAAGAAATCAAGGACGAAAAATCTGGGTTCATCATGAAGACAAATCCTTCCCCCTAACCAATCTATCGTGAATGTTAGTCATCCGCTCTAACCAACAAATAGGAACATCAGACAGATT